AAAGATACATGGCCCAGGAGAGCAATAGTTCATTTCAAATAAACAAATGAGAAGCACATCTATGCTGACAGGAATAAAATAATTTTATTCACTTCAACCTGTCTAGAGTCTCCACACTGAGTCTCTAGCATATAACACCTTCCTGTTGTCATGCTAAAAAACAAAATAAAATCCAACAACAAAACTCTTATTTACATTTCTTATATTCCTTTTACCCTACTCCACCCCAATCCCTTCCAACACTCCAACACTAGGTAGGAGAGAGAATGAGTTAATGGGAGATGGGGCACAGTTCTCTTGGATGCTTCCTGCTGGCTGGGGTCACTGGGTTCCTTGGAGCCAGCCCAATCCTCATTTCAGAAGCTCTCACAACAGCAACAGGAGATACAGGGGAGAAGCAGCAGCAGCATTGTTCTTTCTGGAGCTTCCCAACACTCTCTGGGCTCTGGTATTTATTCCCTCTCCAGACTCCTTAGATTTAAACTATCTGCAGCTGGCAAAGAGCCCCTCTCAGAAATGGCCTGAGGCAAATAATTTGCTGCTATGAACCATCTGAATCAGTCCCACATCTCACACCTGGGATTAAAAGAAAAATATGTTTATATCCATAACACCCTCCCCTATCCAATCCTTAACAACCAATATTTCCTTCCCCAAAACCTCTTCCATGACATCTAGCATCTACATCTATTTCATTCCTGGAAACCAACATCTTCGCCAACATAGGATAAACTGGGTACCCTACCATCTCTCATCCATTATTTTCCCTGCCTATTCCTTAACAGCTTAAACACTTCAAGGAAGGGAAGCATTTACTCTCTGTCCCTTTCAGGAGATCATTCCACCACTGTATGGAAGATCTGGCAGCAACCTAAGACACAGCTGGCAGGAAGGGAGTGTTAGCATGGTAGGAGGTGCTGCAGCCTTCCTGGCATGTCCACTTCCGTAGCAGAGAGTAAACAGCTAGAAGGCCGGGACTGTAAAGTGTCAAGGGCCACCTCCAAACTCACTTTTTTCCATCCAGGAGCCACTTGCTAAAGGTTCCAATTTCTTTTTTCAAACAGCACCACCAAGTGTTGTAATAGACAGAGGAAAAAAGTTATACTACCCAGTTCCCTGAAAGAATTCAACTGTTTTATCATAGAAATGTTTAGCACTTAGGTTGCAGTGTTCTAGAAAACCTGTTAGGTTAGCTAATATATCGCAACTGGCAGTAAGTTTTTGTTCAGTGCATTGACATGGGTTTTAAAGTTATGGACTGATGACATCACAATAATTATTAAGATGCCATGCATTGTTGTTTTTATAACCCCATGCTGCTACTGTGAGAATGAAGCCATCATTTACCTACAAGCTGACAAAGTTATTTATATAGCCATGGAGTGAAAATCAAGGGGTTTCTTGTACTGAAAACTGAAATGTCAACTTCATGTCTAAATCTCAATCCCCATTTTCTGTAATGTTCTCAAGTAAAATAAGAAGTAAATTCTTTTATTTCTTGAGAAGCCCTGCAGCAGCTCTGTGTACGCTGTGTTTTGGATCCTGTTTTCATTTTTGTGTGTGGTGTATGTGCTTCTGTGGGTATGTATGAGTTTGCACGTGCACATGTGTGTAGAGGACAAGTGTTGATACCTGGTATCTTCTGCAATTGTTCTTATTTTTGAGACAAAAACCTCCCACGGAAGCAGGAACTCATCAACTTGTCTACACTGGCTGGCCACCATGATCTAGGAATCCTTTTGTCTTGTTTCCTTGTCATTCACAGCACCGAGCTTGTAGATGAGCACAGTCTTGCCTGACTTGAATGGGGGTTGGGGATTGGAACCAAGGTTCTTTATCCTGTGTGGCAAATGATCTACACAGCGAGCCACCTCCCTAGGCCACACTCAAATTTTATTTAATAAAATTGAGTATTTGTCACATATAAGATGATGTTTTGAAATGTGTCTCTCTCAAGATAACATCTCAGTGGGCTTGAGAGAAGGCTCAGTGGTTAAGAGCATTTGCTGCTCCTTCAGAAGGCCCAGGTTCAACCCAGCATCTTCTGGGTGGGTCATCACCATCTGTAATTCCATTCCCAGGGGATCCAGTGCCCTCACAGATATACATGCAGGCAGAACACCCATATACATAACATAAATAAAAGTTAAGAAAATAGCTCTGTTGCCTTAGCTAGCAAAGAATTGCTTCACATAGCTGTTGTTTTTGATGTGTAGTAAGAACACTTGTAATCCACCCTGGCCTTATGAAAGAAAGCATAGAATCCCATGTTGTGTTAAGTAGTAATGAGAGATCTCTGGCCCTTATTCATCCCAGCTCAAACCAAATCCTTTGACCAACAACCCTGCCAAATAAGTCCCTGGTAACCAAGATTACCATCTACCAACACCCTGGCATCCAAAATCTGTCACAACTCAGGCCTTGGTAAATAAGTCTTCAGATCACATTTGTGTTACTCAGAATCAATAAAAACCATCTTGTACTGTTTTGTTTATTACTTGTTTTGCATAAATGGATGCTGTCAATGTTTAGACTCTGTTAGTTTTGTTCTCCTTATATAATTATGAAGCTCAGAAACACCTTACTGTTTTAATCATAGTTCTCTAGAGAAACAGAACCAATAGTAGTAGTTTGAATGATTAATGATTCCCAAAGGCTCATTCAACCAAGATTTTATATTAGGTTAGTAGAACTGTTTAGGAAAGATTAAGAAGTGTGATCTTATCAGAAGAGTGTCATTAGGGGTGGGCTTTCAGGTTTTCAAAGCCACTTTCAATTCAGAATATGAGTTCTCAGCTACCATTTCAGTGCAGTGTCTTGTCTATCTGCTGCCATTGTCCCTGTCATGATGGTCATGGACTTTTTCTCTGAAAATATAAACAAGGCCTCAATTAAATAATTTCTTTTAGAAGTTGCCTTGGTCATGGTGTCTCTTCACAGCAAAACCAATTAACCAACCAATCAAAAAAAAAAAAAGTAAACTAAGACAAACCTACTGGCTGCTCAGTTCTCAAGGGGTTTCCAGGGGTACAGGGGCTGTCTCTGACATGAACTCAGTGGTTGGCTCTTTGATCACCTAGCCCTGGGGGGTGCAGCCTTGCCAGGCCACAGAGGAAGATGATGCAGCCAGCCTTGATGAGACCTGATAAGCTAGGGTAGATAGAAGGGGGAGGAGGTCTTCCCCTGTCACCAGACTAGGGAAAGGGCATATGGGAAGAAGAGGGAGGCTGTGTGGGACTGAGAGGAGACAAGGAAGGGGGCTGCAGTGGAGATACAAAGTGAATAAATTGTAATAAATAAATATATAAATAAAATAAAATAAAAAAGGGAAACCCAAGAGACCAAAAAAGAAAAAAAAAAAAAAGAAAAGAAAGAAATTATAAGCAAGGCCTCAATTAAATAATTTCTTTTAGAAGTTGACTTGGTCATGGTGTCTCTTCACAGCAAAAAAAAAAAAAAAAAGTGAACTAAGACAAGGATTAAGATCATAAATATATTATAAATTTTATTAATAAAATCTGAATATATGTATATTCATAAATATATATACAATGTATAGATCACACATATAAATATATAATTATTTGTTATATAAATAATATATGTAATATATATGCTTATATAATATAGATACTATGTAGGTTATATAGAATTATTAATATATAATACAATATATAAGTTATAAATCATAGTGTATACTATAGCTGACTTAAAATCTGAATATATACATATATTCATATATAATATATATAATTTTATTAAGTCAGCTACAAAATAGTAACAATAGCTGAATCACACCTGAGAAACTCAGAACCCTGTGATTACTTAGTCTGGTCCTTGAGGCGGCATGCCTGAACAGAAGGTAGTTACATAATCCAAAAGAGGGCTGCCTCAGTAGACCTAATATGGCACCTGAATGTTATAAGCTTCTAGGAGGGTCCTAGTCCATGATAAATGCTTGGAAATGCTGGTTCAATCAGCAACAGTAACTACATCAGAGAAAAATATTCAGTGGCAAAAGCAAAAGCCAATCAAACAAAGAAGAGCATCTTCCTTCTGATGTACTCTTTTTTTTATCTGGACATAGTTACTTTTCTATTGTTTCAACAAAACACCATGACCAAAAACACCTTTTGAAAACTTTTAACTGAGCTTATAGTTTCAGACAGTGAAGAGTCCATGACAGCAGAGCAAAAGTATAGCAGCAGGAACAGCAGACAACTCGTATTTAAGTCATTTGAAACCTCAGAGTCCATGTCCAGTCACACATGTCCTCCAATAGACACTTCCTAATCCTTCCCAAACAATGCCATCAACTTGGAACAAAGTATTCAGACATATGAGCCTATGTGGGCATTATCATTCAAATGACCACATTCCACTTTCTGGTACCCATAGGCTTGTGATGCACTTAGTCCAACTTCAAAAGCTCCATGGTCAACTGTGGATGAAGCATTCACACATTCCCAACATCAGGCTGCTACCAGGAGAAGGTGGCACTCACAGCCAGGCTGGATCTTCCCACAGAAGGCAATCAGGACAGTTCTTCCTGTGAGGCTTTCTTCTCAGGTGATTCGGACTTGTGGTAAGTTGACATTAAAATCAAGATTATACGTGCATAACTGTAATGCATTTCTACAGATAAGGCTGAGAGGATCAACGTTAGTTATCTTCACGGAGCTCATTTTGTGTTTATTTTTTCCATTCTTATATTATTTACTGTTTGTGCTCTCTAGGTCACTAATATTCACCAAGGAATAGTTAATCATAAAAGAACTATGTGGCAAAGTCATTTTAAATAATCACATAGCAATGAAAAAATTTCAAATTTATAAAAAGTTTTGGAAGTATAAAATAAATAGAAAATTCTTGATTAAAATCTAAAAATAAAAAAAAACAAGCTGATTTCATATTGCTTTAAATTTGCTTAAAAGGGTGTAGTAAATTTTTAAGTAAAATTTTTTGAAAGGATTATAATATTGTTTCTTGTGGAATTTCAATAATGAGGAACTATAAATTTACTTCTGAAATGAGTAATACCTTCCTTAAGGTAAGCATACATGTGTGGACCAATGGAGTCATGAATTTGAATTGCTCAAACAATCTCTTTTTGCAATAAAAAAAAATCTTTCCCCCTTCCTTTTCCTCTCTCCAACCCCTCCAATACCTTCTCTTCTCAAATTAATGGCTTCATTTTCTTTAATTTTCAATGTGTCATATATAAAATAAATATGAGTCTAACCTGCTGAATCTGTTTTGGTGTTGCCTGTATGTATGTGATTTCAGAGCACCAATGGGGGTGCTCATCTTTGGGGAAAGCTAATGCTTCCTCTCTCATCAGTCACTTTTCATCCATAGCTCATTTTCTAGAGGTGGAGCCCCATTAAGTTTCCCTTTCCATGTTGGTGTGTCTAATGGTGATGTAACTGTTCAGGTCTTTAGGCGGCCATATTGTTTGGGTATCATGGATGAAACTTCACAGACTTCCTGTCTCTCTCTTCCAATATGTTTCCCAAGCTTAGGTGTGGGGGTTTGTGTAGTAAATGTGTCATTTGGGGCAGGGCATCTCACCATCAATTATTTTCTGCATTTTGACCAAGTGTGCCTTTATATAATGCTCTCCATTTTCTGGGGGAGGGGGAGAAGGAGCTTCTTTGATGTGGGGTGACAGGAGAAATGCCTATCCTTATTTGTGAGAATAAGAGTAAATATTTAGACTAGTTAGGAATTATATTAGTCTAGTAACGTGGTAGGTGGTAGTAGTAGGTCCTCTGCTAAGAACCATAGTCTCACTAGCCTGGAATAATACCTGAGAGACATAGAAAAATACACAGTTGTGATACGATGTTTGTCAACAAGCAAAATTAAAATTTAGCTCAAACAGACTTAGTTGGTTCTTATGTATGATTCATAAACCTGGGAAGCTTCTGTTGCATGGTAGTTGGTATTATCAAAGCAGTGTTAAGGCTGAGTTACTGCTGTCCTCCCCAATTTATATTTATTTATTTATTTAGTCATTTACAGCCTGATCCCAGCCCCTTCACTCCTATCCTCCCTCAAATCCCTCTCCCCCAGTCCCTGTTTCTTCTTCTTCTCATAGAAGGGGAGGCTCCCAAGGGGTACCAACCCACCCTGGCACTCCAAGTCCCATAGGACTCAGTGCACCCTCTCCTACTTAGGCCAGACAAGGCAGCCCATTTTGTGGAAAGAAATCCAAAGGCAGGAAACAGAGTCATAAACAGCCCATACTCCTATTTTTAGGGAACCCATATGTTGACCAAGTAGCACATCTACACATGTGCAAGGAGTCTAGGTCCAGCCTATGCATGTCCTTTGGTTGGTGGTTCAGACTCCATGAGCCCCCATGGGCCCAGGTTGGTTTACTCTGTAGGTCTTCTTGTGGTGTTCTTGACCCCTGCGGCTCCCTCAATCTTTCCTCCTATTTTTTTTCCACAAGACTCTCAGAGATCAGCCTATTGTTTGGCAGTGGTTGGTGGTTTCCATCAACTGCTGGAAGAAGACTCTCAGAAGACAGTTATGCTAGGCTCCTGTATGCAAGCATGGCAGAGTGTCCTTAGTAGAGTCAGTGGTTGGCTTTCTCCCATGGGGTGGGTCTTAAGTTGGGCCAGTCATTGATTTGGCATTCCCCCAATCTCTGCTCCATTTGTATTCCTACACTTCTTGTAGGCAAGGCAAATTTGGGGTTGAAGGTTTTATAGATGGATTGGTGTCCCCCCTCCTTCCACTCTAAGCCCCACCTGGCTATAGAAGGTGGCCATTTCAGACTCCATATAGGAGTCTCAGCTAGGGTTGCCCCCACAGACTCCTAGGAACCTCCCCTTTCCCAAAGCTGCTTTCCCCTACTGATTTCCATCCTCTTTCCTGGCCCCCCACTTGTACCCCAGCTCTGCGCACACCTGATCTCCACCCCCTCTCCCACCCAGTTCCCTGCCTCCATCTACTTCAGATGTCTATTTTATTTCCCCTCTGAGTGAGATTCAAGCATCTTCCCTTGGGTCCTCCTTGGCTTCTTTGGGTCTGTGGATTGTAGCACTGGTTATCTTGTACTCTGTGGCTAATATCCAATTATAAATGAATACATACCATGCGTGCCTTTCTGGGTTGCCTCACTGAAAGAAATGAATAAAACTGTTCAAGACCTGAAAACAGAAGTAAAAGCAGTAGGGAAAACACAAACTAAGGGAATCCTGGAGAGAGAAAAGCTAGGGATATATCACTTTTCAGCATATACCCAAAGGATACTCCATCCTACCACAGAGACACTTGCTCAGCTATTTTTATAGCAGCTTTAGGCATAAGAGCCAGAAACTGGAAACAATCACAATGTCCCTCAACAGAGGAATGGTTAAACAACGTGTGGCACATTTACACAGTGTATTACTTGACTTTCAAAAAAAATAACATCATGAAATTTGCAGGCAAATGGATAGAACTAGAAAAAACAATCATCCTGAGTAAGGTAACACAGACCCAGAAAGACAAACTTGGTATGTATTTATAAGTGGATATAAGCTATAAAATAAAGGATAACCATACTACAATCCACAGACCCAGAGAATCTAAGTAAACAGGGTCGGGAGAGGGGAATAAATTTTCCTGGGAAGGAGAACTAGAATAGTTATTGTAGGTGGACTAGGCAGAGGTAAGGATGTGGGGGAAGATGGAAGGAGAGAGTACTGGGAAAGACTAGTGGAGCTGGGGAATATTTCAGGGGCAGGTTAGAACCCTAGTGTAATGGAAACTCCCAAGGAATCTAATAGGGTGACCCTAGCTAAGACTCCTAGTAATGGAGGACACAGAGCCTGAACAAGTCATCTCCTGTGACCAGACAAGTCTTCCAGTGGAGGAACTTGGACACAAACCATGCCACAAAACCTTCGACCTATAATTTGTACTGACTACAAGGTGTGCTATAATAAAGGTAGTGCAGAAATAGTGAGAGTAGCCAACCAATGACTGTCCATCTTGATACTCATGCCATGAGAGGGAGGCCACCCCTTGACACTGCATTGAGTGCCAGAAACCAGAGCCTGGATATCCCAGAGACCTAGGGTAGAGCCTACAAACATAACAGGAAAAGAAAAAAGGAAATGATTCCTAGCAATATTCTGCTACACTACTTGTAGACGGGAGCCTAGAATAATCATCACCAGAGAGGCTTCATCCAGCAACTGATGGGAACAGATGCAGAGACCCAGAGCTTTCTCAGGCAGGGCTCTGGCCACTTCTGCCTTGAGAGGTTATAAAGTTTACAAAGTATACAAAATATACAGAGTCCACAGCAGGGAAGCCTTTCTCCGCAGCATGAATAGCTGAAAGAGCCTGGAGCAGAGGTGCTGCCATTGTGGCAGCTCTAGTGAAGGCAGCAGGCTGAAGCAGGAAAGGTTATCATCATGGACAGCTCCTGCGGAGCTCCTGATTCCAGAGCCCCAGGGCAGGAAGGAGGGGCTGGCAGCTTTAGTGGCCAGCTGCTCAAGAGCTAAAGGTGTTGTGGCTGGAGAACCAGCAAGCCACCATGGCTGCTATGACTGGGGTGAACAGTGGGGCCCTCTGATTCTTTGCTGTCAAGGCAGCAGGCCGCCTGGTTGCTGTGATTGGTGCTGCCATGACAGAGGGACTACACGAAGAGCCTACAATATCTCCAGTCATGATCACTGCCCTGCCGTAACATGAAAACCCTTGAAATGGACACTTAAGCTGACTTCCACGCATTTCCCCAGTTCCTGTTTTAGGGCTGCTGCCCCAGGACAGCACATGGACCTAGCCATGTCTGACCAGTCTTCATCAATGAAAGGAAAGCTTTATCCAATGGCAGACACTCATGTGACAGCCCCACTGCTCAGTGCTCATTGCCATGGTCACTCTAACACCCTACAGCCTTGTTGATTCTCCTCTTGCCTGGGAGCTGCCACCCAGCAGGCCATGAAGTCAGGAGGGGCAAGCGAGCCTGGAATGGCAGGAGAGAACCATACAGCAGCTGATGGCTAGTTCAACTTTAATTCCAGAGAACAAAGGTTATATGACCTTAGGGGAATGGGGGAGGTTCCAAAATTAGGTGTACATAATTGGTTAGAACTAGGCAGTGCAAGGATGCTTGATTTGCATTATACAGCAGTTTCCTATCATAGGAATAGAGTCTCAGTACCTAATTAACATATAGACACAGGGAGGGGAAAGTTAGTAGGGCACTTTGTCTAGTCCACACATCAAGTGGGGAGTCTGTGTCTAAAGACACTCTCCAGATGAAGTCAAGCAGAGAGCAGGGGACAGCGCCAAGGGGAGGGAGTTCTGTCTTGGTCCGGGCAAGAACTGCAACCTCAACCAGCAGGGTACCTCAAATAGAGTGTGAGCCCATTTCTCTGGTTGGTGAGTCTGGAACAGAGGGATAGTATGTGTACTTCACAATGGGCATTCTGTCATGGAATGAGGTGAGGGCTGACCTGTGACTTAACTGCCCACAGCAGGTCTGGTCAAGCTCAGTCACTGACTGCTATTAGGAAAGTGAGGACTCTGCAGGGTTCTGGGAAGATGGGAAGAAAGCAGCCAAGAATTTTGGGAAGTCTTCGTAATCCTCTTCCCCCTCAGACTTCTCCGCCTTCTCTGTGTCCAAATGGCACTCACCTCTTCCCATCTCAGTCATTATCCCCTCAGCCCTCTTCTCCTACCAACCCTCTCTCTGTTTTCTATCCTACCTCTTTTCCTCCTCTGAAGAACACTTCCTACTTCCCCACCTTAATGGTTGCTATGCCCAGTTCCTCCTGTATAGACAAACTCTGCTCTAAGTCCCCTTCTTTTTTAACTCCTAATTCCTGTTGCTCTACCCTCATGACCACCTCTGCTCAAGCAACATCACTGGATAGTTGCCTAGACTCTCTTTCCCACCAGGAAGCTAAATACCTTCGGACAGCCTGGGTAAGTAAAAAACCTCAAACAAGAAACCTCAAACCCTCTTGCAGAGGGTTTACTTCAGAAATGCTATGATTGTTTTCCTAGCCACCTATTGTGGTGAACACAGGAAAAGCAGGCTGATGGAGCCAACAGATAGTCTGGATCTCATTATCCCTGGGTTTCTAGCCTCTCCTCTCCTCCCCTCTCATCTCCTCTGTTCTCCTCTCCTCACTGAATCTGGCTGTACCTGAAAAGCAGCCTAGAGATTTTAGAGAAATGAGTGCCCTAAGAAGGTATTCACAGTCACCAGAAAGCCTTTATTTGTGGTTTCTGAATGTACTTCAGCATATCTTTCAGGGACTGAGGAAGAATTCTCCAGACAAGGACCCTGAAATTGGTGGAAACAGATGTGACCTCACACCCTTGGTAAGCGTGGCTTAGTGAGCACCAGGAAGCTCAGCAGCGCTGCAGGTGACAACTGGGCAGAACAGGAGCTAGCCTGGCCCGAGTCTGGACTTTGGGTTTGGTTTAGGAATAGAGAATATTCTTAAGTTGTTTTATGATTCAGCTTTCTTACCATGAAATGGAGGTACTGTGAAGTAAATCCTTTTTCACAGTGGCCAGGAATGTAAGAATAAGTGCTAGCAATTGTGAGAGGACATGAGTAAGTGCTTAGAAGAGTTTACAGGAGAGAAAAGGAAGACAGGCAATGAGGGAGTAAGTATTAAATTAGGGCACTTGATGCACACACACAATACATCACACACAGGTTACAGAGACAAGCTTTACTGTCACATAAGTTAATTATGTAAAACTTTCAATTAGAACGACATTTTGCAGTTATGCTATGTTGTCTCAAGAGGAATGTAATGCTACATGTAGTGTATCAGGATTATAAATCTAAGGCAACCTGAAAAAAGTTTACAAAGGAGGCATAATTGCTAGGGGAGAAAAATGCTTCATATCAAACACTCGCATAGATCTGGGAAACAGCCTCTGTTGACAAGAGCTCTTCACATCATAGGAACAAAACGGTAAACAGTGTCATAGATGGCAGACAAGAATCCAAAAATTACATGACATATTTATATTCATCAGTCAAATGACTGAAATGGCCTCCTGGAACAAAAAAAAAAATAAGACATTTATTGCTTATCCATGGGAAAACCTGTTTGATTAGAGACACATTTATGTTTAAAATAAAAGGCTGGTGCCTTCTGAGAAGCCTGTCCTCCTGGGTTGGTCCACAAATTCCTCCTGCTTGACAAGAAGGAAGAAGCATTTCTTCTAAATTGCCACATACCACAAGTGCTGTAAATGGAGTGAGTGGCCCTTGCAAGATGTGCTCACATGGCACTGACTCTTTTCCTAGCCTGGTTCAGGAAAGCTCCCGAGGTCCCAGCAAGCTGCCTCTGTCCCATGGCTTGCTCTTGCCATCTGAAGGAAAGATGCCTGTGTTGTCACAGAAGCGCACATGAATGGTACAGCTCTATTCCTTTATTTGCTACGTGCCAACTAGACGTAGGTGCCCGTTGCCTGGTTGCTCAGGCTGAGGCACTGGGCCAAGAGGGAGACACAATGGTGCTTTACAGTGCCTGTCAGTCCCGACAGGAAGAGGTGACCTGGGAGGGGCTGCCTCAGCTGGGCCGGTACACACAAGGCCACTCTCTGCTTTTACTGCAGAGCCTTCTGAAAAGATAAAAGGGCTTCTAGCATTTTTCGTATTAAATTCAATTTCCCACTTCCATTCTTTCTCTCTGTACTTATTCTACCTGCCTTTACCCCTGTCCTGTTCGGTCAGCTCGGGAGCCTGCAGCCTGCTCCTCAGCCTATCCTGTCCTTTCTGTTTTCTGTCCTTCCCCCCCACCCCCACTCTGATCCACACTTTCCCCATTATCCCACCATACCTTCATGCCTGGCTCTTCTCTTTTCCAGACTTTTCTCTGAGCACCCTGTTCAAATTGTCCCCTTCACAACTGGACCCAACTTCTCCTAACATTTCAGTTCAAGGTCCCCTATTCTCTTATCCCCAGCACAAAGCCAGCTGCCCTCCATCAAAATGAAAGAGTCACTCTTCCTCCATGGGAAGGTTTACCTGCCACACCTGCAGTTCAGTGGTGCCAGAGCTGTGCTTTCCAAACAGACTGACCTGGTGTCCATGGGGGGGAAGGTGACATAGTTGGCATGCTGCCTGGAGAATCACCTTACCTAATGAATCCATTTCCTCAGTGGCCTCTTCTCTCTATCTGGACATTCCTGAAAAACATCCCAGAGATAGGAGTGGAACTAGAGCCCTAAAGATTTTACTGCCACCTGTCAGGATAGTGGTCTAGCTCTTCCCTGATAAACTGAGTGGTTTAGAACTGGCCATGAATCTCATTCACTGTTTCCTCAGGTACCAGGGAAGAAGCAGCCAGAGGCACAGACTAGGAACCGTGAAGTGAAAAATGCTCAAGTCATGGTTAAGCTTAGCTCCATCACTGAGTAAGTACTGGCAAGTACAACAGCAATGGAGGGACCACCTAAAAAGACAGGGCAGAAAGACAGGGCAATTTTGCTGGGGTTTGAATTTGGACTCAGTTTACCACTTGGTGATGTTGGTTTAGCTGTGAACCAGTGTGATGACTCAGCAATCCTGTCAGAACTGGTGTCTTGACAGCAGTTTGGAGTGGATTAAGAGGGGCAAATAAGTAGCCTTGGTGATTTCTCTCAAGGGTGCCCATCATACTGGAAAGCCTCAGGAAATGTAGGCTTGTGCTTGAGGATTGGACTTTACATGACTAATATTGGTTTATATAAAGATGAAGTTGAAAGTCTGAAAAAAATCAGGTCTGTTTGAAAACTCAGGATAGCGAATTGTCTTTAGTCAAGAACATAACTTTTATCAAATAACAGTTTTGGGATGGAGAAGAGAGGATATGATTGAGAAAAAAAAAGCTCACCCCATTAGAAAGTCAGGAAACATAGACCCTCACACTCCTTCCCCTTTCACAGAAAATAATCTGGTGTGCACAGACAGAGACTGGCCTGTGGAAGGGCTGCAACTTGCATCTGCCAGGGCATTCCATAGCAAATACATCAAGACGAGGACCACTGGGGCAGCTGTCCTGGCCAGGAACATAGCTCAGCCACTTGTGCACCTTTCAGATCAGAGGCTACCCTCCTTCCAGCTACAGATGATCAACAGATTCCACATGTTTGTTCATCACTATGAAACTGGGGACAATGCTCATGGGCACTGTTAGCGAGCATCCTTCCCCTAGAGAGAGTAGGTCCAGGAGCTCTAGACCTTTAAGAAGTAATTAATCTGGAGTTCCAAAATGATGTGGCTATTGCCGAAAGAGACTTGACTATCCCCAACATGGGATTCTTTGCCCTTAGATTCTTCAATATAGGGAAAGAGAAAAGTCGCACTCAATGGGAAACTCTGCCTCGTGTCATGAAGAATAGCTCAGTTGCCTGGGACTCTACTCGGTTTGGGCTGTGCACACAGCCCTCATCTAATAATGTACTTAGCACCTGAGACCCTTATCAGCATGTACTATGTGGGCAGATGCCATTCTGACACTGTGGATTAAATTTCTCCTCTCCTTAAAGACCGTTGAAGTTGAAAGTTCCCAGTCATATGTATCCCCGATACATTTCCCTTCAAAGGTAGCAGGGACAATCTAGCTTGAACTGGTTTGGGTGTATGTATAGTATACAAATATAGTATGTATAGTAAAGCAAAACTCAAGTAAAATTTTAGGGAGAATCCCCATTCTAGTTGCATTTCTTTTGTTATAAGACAGCCTGAAGAAGAGCAACTAAAGAAAGATAAGGTTTATTTGAATTAATAGTCCAGATTATATCCATCATTATGGAAAGCCAAAGTAGAAACTGGAAGCAGCCTTTCACAGGCATATTATACACACAGTCAAGAAGAGAAGAAAATTAATGCACGAATACGTGCTTGTTTACCTTCATTTATACATGTCGGGATCTAATCCCGGGGAATGGAATGGTGCCACCCACTCTTACGCAGACTCTTAGCACATAAAATTAGGGTAATCAAGACAATTAATTTCCTATAGACATGGCACCAGGCAAACCTGATCTAGATAATCCCTCAGTTGATTCTAGGTCATATCATTGTCGACTCCATATCAAGTTGACACCCAAACCCATCACTGTTAGCCATAACCTTCTACCCCTCATCCTCAAGGCCCCTGTTACAATCTGGTAAAATACAGTCCGACTTTAAAAGCTCCATAGTCTTAAAAAAATCCAAAGTCTGTTAACTCTGAGTTCCTATAAAATAAAAATCAACTTTCATACTTCCACCATATACAATGGCACAGAGTTGGGGTATCACAAGGAACAATCTGATCAGAATGAAACCAAAATCCATCAGAGCAAGCAGCAAGTCCTAAAACCCCACATCCACTAGTGGGGATGACCAGGGTCCCCTCCCTCCAGCTCTGCTACCTGCAGCACATAAGGCATCTCTTCCAGACGGAGGCTCACTCCATGCCACATCTGTAGCTTTCTGTAGCATATGTTCTATGGTCCTGGTTCATGGAGTAAACAAACTGGTGATTAACTTGAAGTTACCTGTAATGCACTGGTGTCCATGAAGGAAAGAAATAAAAGTGCTTCCCCTTGGATCTGTTTATCCAAAAACAAGTCCAGATTTGAATTTTCTACTTCATGCCCTGTGACTTCTGTTTGCTGTATAAAAGCTGAATCTGTGCCTGCCTGAAGTCTGCTTGTGAATCTGTCCTTGTGTCTGTCCCTGTCCTGTATGTCTGTCTGTTGTGTCTGTCCTTAACAAAGGGTTTTGCTCTGTGTTTACTGAACAGCACAGAAAGCATCATGTTGTGGGAAGGAATGGGATCCATTGCAGAAATCTTTAACAGAATTTTACAGGGGATAATGTCACTGGCTGCAATTCATCCAACTGGCCCAGACAACAAACTTCATTGTTTATTAACCAATATCCATAAACCTTTATGTTATGTTTTAGAGGATTGCTTCCAACCTCTGTATTTGCTGCTTTCAGCAAATGATACATATGCATTGTCCTGGGTCAGGGCGTGGAAGAGTTAAGATTGCAGCCATGCATTAGCTTAGGTTGTAAACATTAACTATATGGGAAATCTAAGGCAAATAAGGTCAATTGGTTAAACAAACAAGCTGAGAAGTAGGATGGCAGTCGTGACTTCAACGGTGTACTACTCACTCTGGCTGGGTAGCCTAGAAAATCACTCTTAGGACATAATGCATTGCCACAATCCTGGCAGTGCAAATATCCTGGGGGCTCCATTTCAATGGTGGTTTCACCTTTTTAGCTTATTATATTGGCCTTTCAGGGGCTCTCTGAAGGGGCTCTAACCCTACCACCACATTGTATCTGGCCTTAGCTGCCAATGTGAACCCCTCAATCTTGCAACTTTGTCACCAAAACTAGTAATATGATGCTTATAATACTGCCAAGTTATGCGGCTAGCTTCTGTGTGCCTGTCCTGAGGAAACACTTACCTACTGTCCCAAAAGCGGCACAGAAGGTATCACTGCAGTCGGACTGATTTCTTTAGCAAATACAACCCCTTCTCAGTGCAGCCTGAATGCACTTGACATGAAATGTTCTCTCAGTTCAACCTCACTTAGGTTCTCAGGACACAGGCAGAAAATAAGTCAGATTTTTGGACAAAACATTACACAAATTGCCCCTACCCTAATTCTCCTATGCTAACTCTCCATGGAGGTCTTGTTGCCTCTGAAATGTCATAAGATGGGCCACTACTGTCCACATTTCTCTCAGAGTTCTTACACTCCAAGCTTCCACTGGGAAGGCATTATGCTCTATGTACAATATGGTTTCTGTAGCCTGAAGTTTGAATCTTTTCCATGTTACTAGAAAACAACACGGTTAGGTTTGTGCACTCTTGGTACCTTGGCACCACTTTATTCCCTAACCATTCTATTGTGTGATAAATAGTCCAGCAAATGCAGCTGAGTGAGAGTGGGTTTATTTGGCTTACAAGTAAGTCCCACTCCTTCACTGTAAGAAAGTCAAGACAGGAATCTGGAGCAAGCTAGTCAATCGTCACCAAGAGCAGAGACTACTTCCTGTGGCACGGGCAATCCAATAGCAGCCATGCCCTCCAAGTGAGAGGTATTCTCCCTCCCTCAGCAGCCATCAACAGCCAGGAACCCCTGCACGAACAGTGGGGCCAGAGGGGCCCTTTAGCCGTTCATGCCTGAGTGTTGACTGCTTGATCTTGTAAAGGTCTGTGTAGGAACCATAGCAGCTCTGAGTTAATGCAGGAAACAGCCAAGTTTAGATGTAGGACAGCTTAGATGTAGGGCAGCTCTCCTCCTGTTTAGCTCTCCCATTCTTTCTGCACCCTATTCCACGGTGTTCCTGCTCTTTGGATAAAGGGAAATCGATTATAGATGCTGCAGATGAGCCCCACAGTTTCTTACATGTGCCACTTTGAGCAGTTACGAATTTCTGCATTAACTGCCACCAATTGCAAATGAAGTAGCCACATGCCACCTTCTCTCAAATCTCACAGAAAGTGCCCACCAATAATCCACATAACTTTACTCTGTGGCCCTTGGCTCACCTGCAGTGTTTTCTGGTGATTTTGCTTTCAGTGTCTCCTTGTTACTTTTGCAATCTGTATATACTGTTATTTCAACTCCTTGACTAACTGGCCGAGATCCTGGAAGCATCCAGTCTGGACACTGATTACTAATAACACTAGATTCCCTAGACATGTGTGTCAGGTAACTCTTAACAATTTAGAGAACCCTCAGGTTCGCTCTTGAAGCTAGCCAGCTCTCTATTTGGAAGGTACGGAAACTCAAGTATGCACAGCACATTCTCCAACTTCATTACACTTCTGATGCCATAACATTCAGTAAGAAAAGATCAAGGGTACATTTTAAAACAGGCCCAGACCATCATAACCATCATATCCAGGTCCAAATCATTCATACCTAGACCATTCCTGCTTCCTTTGAGCTTCTATCTGATTCTGTTTTCTTCTCTCCAGGGAAAACCTGACAGAATCTCAAGATTCCTAAGTAACTCCAGGACTAAAAATGATGCTATTGCCTACACCAAGCTTAAATATGACACCCAGGACAAGGTGGTCATCGGAAGTGGCATGCGTTTTGTATAGCCATCCCATGTATAAAATGAAGTGGATACTAACTGAATCAATTTTAGAATAAAGATTTTTAAACAAGGTAAGAGGAAGAGAGTTATTTTATACTGATGGCGCAGGGTTGGGGTGGTCAGTACTGAAGGAAGAAAGCCTAACCTTTTACCTGTATTCAAAGAACACAATGTGTCAAAAAAAAATTTGAGGGAAAACTATGAAGAAATAGCAGTGTCTCCTATTTTCGTTGGACATTTCAAACTCCCTCCCTTTATGAGAGATAGAATGAAGGTGATAGTAAAATTCAGCAAGGATACAGCTCTACCAAATCATTTACTTCCTGTAGCAACAGCAGGTCATACATGATTCTCAAGGTCAGAAGACAGGCCAAACTCAAGGTCAAAACACATCATAAAAAACTGAAAATAGAGCTGCTCTAAAGCCATAGGAAGTTAAATTAGAAATTTGAATTTGTGTGTAGCATAATCATTCCATAGAGGAAAACTAATACACGTAATATAGACAAAAGGAAAACAATTATGCTTTTATATTAAAATCCAGATACTACAAAATAAATTAAATTGAAAGTAAACAGAAGGAAGTCAAATTATAGTTGTAGCCAATGAAATTTTAGCCAGAGGAAAAAATAACATACTCAGGCCAGTTATATGAAAATATTAGTCATACCAATAGGCTTCTAGCTAAACTAAGAAAAAAAAATGAGAAAAACAAGGGACTATTAAAAATAAATAATTTGCCTAACTCTAAGCCAACATAAATATAAAAACAAGCTATTTCTAAAAATACAAAATTAGGAAAAAATTACACAAGGGACACTATTTATCAATGTGCATATATTAAAATAAATCAATTATCTGGATTCAGTGTGTAATGCAGTTGGAGAGCACATGCCAAATATTTGACTTGGGTCTGTCCACAAGCTAACCTAATCTACATTACATGTTCTTTCACAGGCATGAGTAGAGGTTAACCCAGGTCTAGATAATGCCCCATACATGTGCCCAGAGGCTTTGTATCATGGGGGATTCTAGATCCTGTCAACTCAACTCTACAATACAAACCACCACAGATAACTTCCAACCATCTTATTAGAAATGAAAGGAACTTTTCATGGGCCAATGAGTAAACAGCACATGGATTAGACAAATTCTCTGAGACTGAAAAAGTTAAATGAAATGTCCAAATTCGATGTTTGAGGAAGAATTAGCAGGAAAAAAAATCAAAACAATAGCAAAGAACAATCAATTAGAAAACTAGAAAACACCTGTGTAGGTGCAGGAGAATGCCAGACAAGAGAATGAGCATAATACTTGAGGCAATGGTGGGTAAGAATTTCCTTTAAACTGAGGTAGGCTCAGAAACAACCGTGTCAGGAAGATCAGAAGGTTGCAGGTAAGTGTAACACCAGGTAAGCACTATTAAATGATAAATTATCTCTTAAAATTTATTTACTGTTTTATTAATTACAGTTTATTCACTTTGTATCCCAGCTGTAGCCCCTTCCCTGGTTCCCACCCGATCCCACCTTCCCTCCCTCCTCTCCTCCCATGCTCCTCCCCCAGTCCACTGATAGGAGAGGCCCTCCTCCCCTTCCATCTGACCCTAGTTTATCTGTTCTCACCATGACTGGCTGCATTATCTTCCTCTGTGGCCCAGTAAGGTTCCCCCACCTCAGGAGTAAGCATGGTAATGGCACAAAAACTGACACATAGATTGGATTAGGATTGAGAACCCAGATATGAGACTATGTAATCACAGTCACCTGATTTTGGCAAAGATGCCAAAAATAAACACTGAAGAAAGGACATTTTCAACAAATGGTGCACGGAAAACTGGACTTCAATATGTAGGACAGTGAAACTAGAGCCCTGCCTTGCACCTGCACAAAATTCAACTCCATATGGATTAACATAAGACCTAATAATCCAAAACAAGCAGAGGAAAAAGTAGGGTGCTCTTCAAGACGAAGCACAGGTGGCAAGACCAACAATGGATACGTGGTATCTCATGAAGCTAAACAGCAGAGAAACAGCAAAAGAAATAAGTGAGGAGACAGGCAGTCCACAGAATGGGAGAACATATTTTCCAGCTGTTCATCTGGTAGAAGGTTGATAACTAGAATGTATGACCATCTTACTGCAGTCAGAATGGCCATCACCAGGAATACAAGTATCAACAAATGCTAGCATGGTTTAGGGGAGAGAGACCTTTTACATACTGTTCACAAAGTATAAACCAGAGCAGACACTTTGGAAATCAGTTTGGAGAGCTCTCAGAAAACTAGGAATAGAATTGACACATGGTCCACTTGTGGGAATATATTCAAAGGACTCTATGTCCTCTTCAGGGACACTTGCACAGTTCGTTGTCATTGTTTTCATGGTAGCTGTGAGGTGGAATCATTCTAGATGGCCATCAGCAGATGAGTGAATAAGAAAAAATGATGTCCATGTACGCAATGGACTATTACTCCATTGTAAAGAAAAATGAAGTCATGAAAATTATAGTAAATGTTGGAGCTGAAACAATATTATACTGAGTGAGACAACTCAGGCCTAGACAGAAAGAGCATGTGCTCTCTTATATGTGGAGAGCCTACCTTAAAATAGTTTGTTTTTAAGTTTGAGCACAGGTAGGAGCCCGAAGCTAGAAAGGCACAATAAGGGAGAAAGGGAGTAGATTACAAGGTAAATAAAAGTGGACAGGTGGAAAGGTGGAATACTGGGCGTGGACAGGCTAAACAAGGAGGACTGGGAGTACGGAGCATATCGGCACGGGAAGGAGGACTAACACAAAGGAAGAGCGTGTGAAAAGCCACCTGAAGCCCAATATCTCACAACCCAATTAAAAATACAATTGGCTGTCTCTGGCATGAACTCAGTGGCAGGCTCTCTGATCACCTCCCCCTGGGAGGAGCAGCCTTGCCAGGCCACAGAGGAAGACAATGCAGCCAGTCCTGATGAGACCTTATAGGCTAGGTTCAGAGGGAAAGGGAGGAAGACCTCCCCTATCAGTGGACTATGGGAGGGGCATAGGGGGAGAAGAGGGAGGGAGGGAGGGTGGTATTGGGAGAAGATGAGGGAGGGGGCCACAGCCAGGATAAAATTGAATAAGTAATAAATAATAATAATAAATAATAATAATAATAATAAAAGAAAAAGTATAATTGGAGGAGTAATATGAAAGAAAGGGGGCAGTCATGGGTTAATATACTAAATGGGGTCAAGGGTAGGAAGAAGGGGCAGAAGGAGTAGTGGGTGGATTCATCAGAACTAAGAGTGTTTGACAAAGCCTGGTGGGTACCAACTAGTTAGTAAGCTAATTTCACAGTATCATTTAAAAGAGAGTTTGAATAGAACTACCTTGCACAGGTGGACAGCAATACTCCAGAAGAAATCACAGTACACAACATGATGAGTTATTGGTCAGGGAAGCCAGAGGCCTCTAACACAGCCCAGGCTGTGGTCACTTCTCTCAGTCACCCACCGCAGCTTCAGGGTAAGACCCTTTTGCTGAAGACACCATGAACTTTGGCTATACAACATAGATAAATCAATCTCAAGCTGACCAGAACCCCTCTTCCTTGCTGGCTAAATTTCATAGTGCCAAAATGTGCTATGCCCACTGCATAAGAGGAGAAAGGACAGCAATCGTCTTACACAGTGCTGAACACCATATGTCAAGATCTTCTCGCTAACGCAAGGACTATTAAGGAGAACAATGGACTAAGTGCTTTCTAGTTGGATTTAAAGGCAGATTGAGAGGAGAGAATTTCTTTTTTATTTTTTTAATTAATTACATTTTATTTACTTTGTATTTCCCCCTGTAGTTCCCCCCTCCTCCCCTCACAATCCCTCCCTTTCTCCTCCATGCATGCCCCTCCCCAAATCCACTGGTAGGGAAGGTCTTCTTTTCCTTTTGATCCTAGTCTGTTAGGTCTCATCAGGAGTGGCTGCATTGTCTTCCTCTGTGGCCTGGTAGGGCTGCTCCCTCCTCAGGGGGAGGTGATCAAAGAGCAGGCCAATCAGTTCATGTCAGAGACAGACCCTGTTCCCATTACTATGGAACCCACTAGAAGACTGAACTGCCATGGGCTACATCTGTGGAAGACCCCTGTGCTCAGATTTTGCTTGACAGGAGAGAATTTCACACCGGGTACTGTATGTAATCCTGGTTAGAAGCCAGGGCTATCAAAGCCCTAGGCGCTAGGGAAGAATATGCTAATGTTCTTTTGTCAAGAGGTGATGCTGTCAAATTTCTCTGTAAATATTATGGTATGTCTATAAACTTGGGCTGTTCTCAACTCTGGTCAGAAGAATGTCTTTTCGGTCTGGGTAGCGATCAATGCAGAGATGTACAACAAGTAAGAATTTAACCTAAACCCTAAATTAGATAGCTCTATCAACACCACCTTGCCTCTGCCCCACCAAGGCTCAGGGAGCATCCAGCAAGGCAAGGGAGAAAGAATGCAAGAGCTGGAAGGTGGAGGAGAGCCTTGGGATGCTGTCTTCCAGACAACCCCCACCCCTTAAACATGAATGCCTACCAGCTGTGATAATCTGCATAGACCTGTACAAGATAAAGCCAGCTAAAATAGGAGAAGGTAGTTTTCAGGTCCCGCCCCTTCCTGAGGAGCTACTGGGGGGTGATAACTGTTGGAGACTCTTTTTGGAGGCTGCGGCCTCTGGTGGGTTTCCCATGCTCCAGTACCCCCATGCACATATCTCCTAGTGGTGTACGAGTGGCCCTTGTATCTCAGGGGCAGCAGTAGTCGGCAACCAGTAGCTGCCTCACTGGACCTGAAGCCCAGTCAACTGGGAGAAACTCACACATAGTATTGTAAATCTAGGTAAGATCCTATTGGCTAGAGAGTTCAAAGGTCTTGGAGGTAATCTAGTACCACCATATTACTCAAGTATTATGGTTTTCGACTGCTTTTTGAATATTCATTCTCATACCCACAGGCGAGTAAAGTGATCACCTCTCATCAAAGTAGCTTCCTTTTGTAGCAGATGAACACTATTAGGGTGATCCATGAGGAGTCAAAATGTAGAGAAATAAGTGATTGTAGGGTGCCTGGGTCCAAATGAGACATCTGAAACACAACCCTACACCTAAGGTTCAGGAAACATGAAGAGGGAGCAGAAGATTTTACAATCCTGAGGACCAGATGACTACTGAGTAACACTTTCTTCTGGACAGGACAGGGGGATGCTCCCATCAACTATTCAGAATATGGTTGCCCAAATAAGACAACACCAAGTGCCATGCCAATGTGGACAGAGGAAAATCTCAAAAGGCCCAACACCTAGATGAAGATCTACAGGAAGTCAAGAGTAACTGAGGGAGAAACAGCTTTTCTGTCTGTCGCTGTCTCTCTCTCTCTTCCCTTCTTCCTTTCATTCTCTTTCTGGGAAGAAGCTCTAATCCCAAGGGGATAGCTCTAAATAAGGGCAACACTAATTAGAGTCAGTATGTTATATGTGTGCATATATGTTTATATAAAATTATAAGAAGTAATGAATTTGAGAGGGGTGGTTTGGGGACCAGGGAGAAGCTGGACATGGAGAAGGGTTGGAAAAGATAAAAGTAGAGTGTATTCAAGTATGAAATCCTCGATAAAAAGAGAAAGACATAGGAACTAAAGTTTATGAATATACATTAATAAGATAAAATTATGAACAGGCCTGCCTACTATCGTTCCCTCCTGGCATGCACTGTTAACACGATGGACAAAGTAATTCCTCTGAAATCCTCTTACATTTCCATATTTCCAAATGACAAAAAAGGTAGAAGGCCCTGGGAAATGCAGAGCCAAAGCGCGGTACCGGCTTGTACAGTTCCGGGGCTTGCAAGGTCCAGGAAAACTCCCAAGGCCCCAAGTGCATGGACATGCCTGTCCTGGCAAACAGACTGCCAATCTCCATGTGATCCCAGGAGCAGACTCACTGTTGGCATTCCATGCCTGTCTAGACCTAAGTTTGGCTAGAATGGTGCACTGTACCACAGAAGAATGCACGCATCACAATGTGCACTGTGTCATGCCTGAGGTCATTGGCTACCTAGGAGATAATTACTATAGTGTTTGGCACAAGCTCAGTTGTTCACAAGTGTTTTAAAGTGTCTTCTGAGAAGATGACCAAAAAGCTTCGTAGACCTCTGGGTTCTCTACGAAAGCCACCTCCTCCACCTTGTCCTCCCTCAGTTCATCTAACCTCCTACCATTTCCTGCCTATGTCAGTTATTTCCCCTAGATCTGCTGCGAAGATTAATTCCCTTTCTGTTTACTGCCCTACCTATTTCCCTCCTATACGGCATACTTCCATCTTCCCCACCCTGATGGTCCACATGCCTTCCTCTTCTTCTAAAGACATGATTCCCACTAGGTGTCCTATTATTTATTCCCCTTCCCTTAACTCTCCTGGTCCCCTAACACCTCCCAACAGCCCTACTGAAGTCATAGAGTTTATCTCAAGCCCACGACAAAGGCAGATACTGACGGCCACACTGGGTAGGTGCAAATTTCATTCTGGGGAGACTCAGTTGGAAAGGGTATAGAGCATGGTTTTCAGGATGATGGGCTCGCAGCAGCCTGACCTGATGGATCCAGGAAAGACAAGGGTGATGAAATCAGTCCTCAGCCTTGAGCCTTTCGACACTCACTTCTCTCCTGTGCTGCTCTATCAGGCCATCACTAACAGCCCAAATTTCTGCGAGAAACCAGTGTCCCTAACAAGCTACTTTGCAGAGTCACCCAAGAGAGCACTATAATGTAAAAAGAAAAAAAAAGTCAATGAAATGATTCCTAATGATATTCTGTTATACTCATAGATGAGTGTCCAGCCCAGTTGTCATCAGGAGGCTTCACCTAGAAGATGGAAAGAGATGTCAAGATCCACAGCCAAACATTAGGTAGAGCTCGGGGAATCCCCAAAAGTGTGGAAGGAAGGATTTCAGGAGCCAGAGGGGTCAAGGACACTACAATAAAACCCACAGAGTCAACTACCCTGGGCTCATAAGGGCTCACAGAGACTTAACCACCAACCAGGGAGCCTGCATGGCAGTGACCTAGGCCCTCTGTACATACGGTACAGTTGTTTACTTTGTTCTTTTTGTGGGACTCCTAACAGTGGGAGCAGGGCTGTCTCTGAGTCTTTATTTTCCTTTGGGACTCTCTCCTCCCACTGGGTTGCCTCCTCCAGCCTTACTAGGAGAGAGGGGGTATCTAGTCTTAACTGAAACTTGATATGCTATGTGTGGCTGGCTGATATCCTTAAGAGGCTGGCCCTTTGCTGAAGAGAAATAGAAGACAGGGGTGGGGGAGAGGAGAGACGGGGGAAGGCACTGGGAAGCAGGGGGAACTGTGGTCAGGATGTAAAATAAAAATACACAGTCATGGAAAGTGCTCCATACCTGGAGGGTTACTGGGGGAAGGCTTAGCTGACTTGACTTGGGAGGAACTGGTGCTAAAACTACACAATGCTGAGATGAACATGAAATTCCTCAGTCAGTCTCAGCTGGAGTTCAGCTGGAGACAACCTATGCACATTTTTTTTTTCCAATGATATCATCTTGGTCATGGAAGAGGAGGACTAGAAGGGAAGAAAGGCTGGGAGATAGAAATAAAGGAACTAACTGGAAACTTGGGCAAATATAGTCACTGTAAGTTATTTAACTCACCCTACCTCCTTTCCCTAGGAAAAATTGGCCTGGTGTATAGAAGAAGAAATGGTGCAGGCGGAGGAATCACCGACCTTCCGGCACAGCTCACAACAGCGCTCCATACCACAGGAAGCACAGCAGTGTCCGCTTCAACAACAACATGGCTCAGACCCTCTGCATGCCCCATGTGAAAGCTGCACTCCTGCAGCTCAGAAAGTGTCCATACATGCTGCATACCTGCTCGCTATCATGAGCATGAAACAACTGTGGGCAGTGGTAAAATACTCAATTCACAGATAGAGCAAAGGACTCACTTAAGATATAGCAAGAATCTTGAGCGAAAAGTGGAGGAACAAACAACTCAGTTGGTAACAGGCAAAGCAAGGCACAGACATTTTTTTCAGGAGACATAATTTCACATACACACAGCTCTGGTTTACTTAGACATGGGTTTGATCACTCTCTGGAAGCCAAGAAACCTAAGAGTGTATCCTATAGTTCTAAACATTCTGGTATCACTTTGAATTGTTTTATTTTGTTTTTAAAAATATTGCATAGATAGTAAACATTTATACTTTCATTGTTTTAATCACTTCTTTTTGTTTTTTGTCTCTTCTTGGGCATAAGAATAAACATATGTAAAGATCCTTTCCCAGTCTGTAGGCTGTCGTTTTGTTCTAATGACAGTGTCCTTTGCTTTACAGAAGCTTTTCAGTTTTATGAGGTCCCATTTATTGATTGTTGATCTTAGAGCCTGTGCTGTTGGTTTTCTGTTCAGGAAGTTGTCTCCACCAATCCTATATCTGACAGAGGGCTAATATCCAGAGTATATAAAGAGCTCAAGAAGTTAAACAGCAACAAATGAAGTAATCCAATTTAAAAAAACGGGGTATAAAGCTAAACAGAGAATTCTCAATAGAGGAATATCAAATGGCAGAGAAACACTTAAAGAAATGCTTAATGTCCTTAGTCATCAGGGAAATGCAATTTAAAAATGACCCTGAGACCCATCAGAATGGCTAAGATCAAAAACTCAATTGATAACACATGCTGGAGAGGATGTGGAGAAAGGGGAACCCTCCTCCATTGCTGGTGGGAATGTAAACTTGTACAATCACTCTGGAAATCAATCTGGCGCTTTCTCCAACAATTAGGAATAGTGCTTCCTCAAGATCCAGCTATACCACTCCTGGGCATATATGCAAAATATGCTCAAGTATACAAGGACATTTGCTCAAAATATTTGTAGCAGCTTTATTTGTAATAGCCAGAACCTGGAAACAACCCAGATGTCCCTCAATGGAGGAATGGATACAGAAAGTGTGGTACATTTCCACAATGGAATACTACTCAGCAATTAAAAACAAAGAAATCATGAAATTTTCAGGCAAATGGTGGGAACTAGAAAAGATCATCCTGAGTGAGGTATCCCAGAAGCAGAAAGACCCACATTAGGTATATAGTCACTTATAAGTGGATATCAGATATATAATATAGGGTAGTCATGCTAAAATCTGTACATCTAAGGAAGCTAAGCAAGGAGGACGACCCTGGGTAAGATGCTCAATCCTCACTCAAAATGGCAAGCAAGATGGACATTGGAAGAGCAAGAAAACGGGGAACAGGACAGAATCCTACCACAGAGGGCCTCTGAAAGACTCTACCCAGCAGGGTATCAAAGCAGATGCTGAGACTCATAGCCAAACTTTGTGCAGAGTGCAGGGAGTCTTATGAAAGAAGGGGGGGATAGAAAGACCTGGAGGGGACAGGAGCTCCATTGAAAAAAGAATCTGGCCCCAGTGAAAAAAGCCCCAGTGAAAAAAGAATCTGGGCACAGGGATCTTTTCTGAGATTAATACTTCAACCAAGGACCATGCATGACGATAACCTAGAACCCCTGCACAGATGTAGCCCATGACAGCTTAGTGTCCAAGTGGGTTTCCTAGTAAGGGGAACAGGGGTTGTCTCAGACATGAACTCAGTGTCTGGCTCTTTGATCATCTCCCCCTGAGGGGGAGGGAGCAGCCTTGCCAGGGCACAGAGGGAGACAATGCAGCCAATCCTGATGAGACCTGATAGGCTAGGGTCAGAGGGAAGGGGAGGAGGACCTCCCCTATCAGTGTACTGGGAGAGGGGCATGGAAGGAGATGAGAGAGGGAGGGAGGGTACAGTTGGGAGGGGAAGAGGGACAGGGCTACAGCTGGGATACAAGGTGAATAAACTAATTACTTAAAGAAATAAAAATTAAAAAATAATAAACATATGCTATAGAAAAGCTCCCACCAAGCTGGTCACCCTGGTGCATGGCTATAATCTCAGCTCTTGGTGAGGCAGAGGCAGGTAGATCTCGGTGGATTTGAAGCCAGCCAAGTGAGTCCAGAACAGCCAAGGCTACACAGAGAAACCCTGTCTTGAAAAACCAAAAGCTCCCATCAACCTAGGTTTTTTTTGCCATTAACTTTTAAATAATAAAAATTCCTTGGATGGAGAGATGGTTTGGTGGTTAAGTGCAGCAGTGGTTACCAGCTGCACAAAACCTGTGTTGAGAACGTGTCCACAAGTGCCTCTGTGCCAAGCCACAAAGCCTCAGGAAGAAAGAGGCATCCACAGTTTCTTTTGTGGGTACAGAGAACCAATCTAAAAGTTACACAGAAGGAAAAGACCCCAGTTGACTCAATAGTAAAGATGGTCTAAGTCTGAAAATTGGCATTTCTTGGCGTAGCAACTTCCCTCAAAGCCTTCTAATCAGGGTAGAACAACCAGCAAATATTGGCCAATCCCTATATTGGCCAATATCTTACATGTCTGGTCAAGTCAGATTCCACGTGCTGCTTCCTGGTTGTCACTGTGTCATGAGCAGGTCCTAGTCTGCTGCTCCCACACCCAGAAGCTCTTCTTATGACCATGCCTTCCCATCTATAAAGCATATATCTAGTTCCCCTGGACCAAATTAAAATATTATTATCTTGAGTTGCTTGTCAAAAACCTATTTGGCCACAGGTAAGAGAAAAGTAATTCATAAAGAAAATTGGGAAAATATAATTTGGTTATAGCTGTGGAAAATGACCAGGGTTAGCATGTATGTGGAACACTTGGGTTCTCTGCAAGGAGCTCCTGATTGGGCTATGCGTGAAGAAGTGAAGGGAAAGTCTGCATGCCCATGGCAATGCTAGAATGCTGTGGATGCCAGGAACATGAGATATTGCTCTGAAAAAACTATAGGTACTGAGTTGTGTTGTCCTAAAAAAAAGAGGTTGTGTGTGTTGGAAGCAGGATGCTTCTAAGAGCTCCAAAAGTGAGATGGGGCTACACAGTTTACTGTGTGCATGCCTTCCTTGGTGGTAGTATGTGTCACACTTAGGTTGCCTGGACACACACACACACACACACACACACACACACACACACATTCTCTCCCTCTCTCTCTCTCTCTCTCTCTCTCCTGTACTGAATGAGAATGGTTACTCTGTACCATTCTATAATGCTATAATATCTCAGAACTTCCTTTTACCTCTATCCTGAGCAGTTCCAAGCTGTAAGTATAAGGCGACGTGAGTTAGAATGAATGCATTTTGCAGTATCAGGAGCTTGTGGAGGTGAGGGATAAAATGATGTGGTTTGAATTTGAAAAACTCTGTCCAGGCTATATTTTAATGTTTGGTGCTAAAATTAGAAAGCCTTAGACGTGTTTGTCCTTAGAACCCAACTGGCCCATCAAGTTAGGCACGGTTAGAGTCCTCACACCTGCCCTAGCTTCATATGAGTGCCTGGCTTCCTGGTGAGTGTAGCATAACAAGCAGTTGCCAATAACTCAGGTATTATGCCTCAGCTAGAGTGATGGACTGTACCTTCTCAAACTGTGAGCTAAGCCAATCCCTCTTCTCTTGTTGTTTCTTCTGGGCTGTTGGATCACAGCTATGTTATAAAGAAAGATTAAAACAAGACAAAACAAAAAACCCAACTGATCAGATTTGAGCAGGGACTGATGAATCCGCAGAGATACCTGTCGCTGCATCTCCAACCCTGGGAACCAATTGTTATCTCCATCTCGTCCTCAGTAACTAAGAACTCACCCACTCATGCCCCGATGACTATCATGTGCCTCCCACATTGCCCCATAGCAACATCTGCCAGCAGTCAGTGTCTACTGAGTGACCTCTCCTTTCACCCAGCCCCTTGCAACCTGGAGCTCCTCATGTAGTCCCTGGTCGCCTGTATCATTTTCCTAGTTACCTCTTGGAATCAGATCTTTCTTGAGCCAGTTTCTATCAACATTTCTACCAACCACTCCCTGGTAAGTAAAATCTCCCCTGACCTGAATCCTGGCCTCCAGCCTTCTCTGACCCAAGGCCTCTCTTCAAACAATACCCAGTAATCAACATTTCTCCATCAACACTCCCTGGGAACCAACATCTTCCTGTCCATCTCCCTTTATCCCATCACTAGCATACCGGTTGGTTTCTGTCAACTTAACACAAGTTTGACACATCTGAAAAGAGAGAATCTCAGTTGAAGAACTGTTCCCCCCCAGACTGCCCCAGTGTGTGTCTGGCAGCTTCTTCTCCTGCTTGCTGCTGCTGCTGTTGCTTTTTTTTTCCTCCTCCTCCTTGGCTGCTGCCACCACCTGCTCTTCCTCTTCAGCCTCTCTTTGAGAGACAAGGTTTCTTTGTGTATCCTTGGCTGTCCTGGAACTCTGGCTGGCCTCCTACTCAGAGATCTACTTGCTTCTGTATCTGGAGGGCTGGGATGAAAGGTGTGTGCCACCACCCCCTGACTAGAAGGCATTTCCTTGATTACTAATTGATGTCGGAGGCCCCTCACTGTGGCGGTGTGTCCTTAGACAGGTGGGCCTGGGCTGTGTAAAAGCCAGCTGAGCAAGCAAGAGGTGGCAAAGCAGGAAGTCATGGTCCTCTGTGGTCTCTGCTTCAGTTCCTGTCTCTAGGTTCACGCCTTGGCTTCCCTTGATGATGGACTATTAGGCTAAAATGATCCTTTTCCTCCCCAGGGTGAATCTGGCCAGTGTTTTATTACAGCAACAGAAAGCAAACTAGAGCACCTGGTAACCAACGTCTCCCATCACCTTGCCCTTAGTGCCCCCCCCCCCACCTGGTCCCTGGTAACAACATTTGCACCCCCTAAACCCTCAGTAACCACCATGTGCTTCCAAGGTGTTCTTGCCACCAACATCTCCCAACAGTCAGTTCCTGCTTATTCAGATGTTTACCATCCCAACCCCTGCTAAACATCTCTTCTCACCCAATCAACACGGCCCCTGCTACCCTGCCCTTAGAAACCAGTCTCCCACCTCCAGGTCCTGGTAACCAAGAACTTGCTCACTTAGTTTCTGATGACCCTCACGTGTCTTCATACATACTCTTCTGGGTCACCAGCATCTTTCTCCACTCAACCTCATTTAACAACCTCCCTCCTCACCAGTCTCTTACAACCTGGTTCTTCCTGATCACACATGTCACCCTTCTAACTAGCTCTTGGTCACCAAGATCTCCCCCAACCAAGCTGTTAGCAACCAACATCTCCTTTTGGAGGTCTGGTAGCCAAACATCCGCACCACATCGACTTGTTGACCAACAACTCCCTCTACAAGTCCCTGAGACACACTGTCTCTTTGGGCTTCGTTCTAGCCCCCATC